TTGTTGTATACTTTCGTGGCCGCGGGATACAGCTAGAGATAAGGATTCATTGCCGTCTCGCGGTTACTAGGACTAGGCAAGGCAGCAGTGGTTACAGGCTGCCGAGTGCGGGGCGAGTGCTCGTTAAAAGACGGTCGATCGCAATCGAGATGTCGGAACGTAACGAGAGGCTTTTAATTTTTTTTTGTGCCTCATCTGCGCGAGAGTTGCGCATAAACTGCCATTTGCTGTCGTCTGTCCCCGTTTTTTATTTCCCTTAAGGGACGGAGATCTATAAACAACCGCAAACAACCCACCTTTTCCATTAGAAGTACACATCGAAAAATTACTCCTTTGAGTTTAAGGCTTTTGATCAGACAGTTGCAACAATGGCAACCTGTAAAAATACATTTTCAAATAGTTTATTAACTTTTTTTGTAACAAAATAAATCTAAAGCTGTCTGATGTACCAAAAATGAGAGCTCGGTGCCTGCGAGACTCAGGGTAGGCTAGCCCGCAGTACACTCGTGCACTAAAGGCAAGATTGTGCCTACCTATCAGGCGCCATGAGGTTGAAACTTGGCACTTTTCGTAATGACGAATGACGGGCGTACTTTCTAGATGATCCCACTTCGCAACACCTGTTACGCGAGACATTGCTTGCATCTTCCTAGATTAATTACAAACCATAGGCCCATTGTAAGCTTGCGAAGCTGCTAGATAGTGTTTTATCAAGTTCATAACGTTTATGTGCTTTTAAAAAGGAATTTCTTTTTGTGTCGTCACTCATCCCAGCTCGCTTTCTACAGAAATAAATAATACGATGGCGAACCAAAAATGTTTGGTAAACCAAAACTAAAGAGGCTCTTGACAAACGTTGGCAAAAACTTTTTTGTTTGTAAAAACTTTTTTACGCGGTGGGCTCCACCGAGGCGCTCACCAAGGCGCCAGGGACAAAAGGGCCGCTGGCGCCGACCTTAGGCCCTTGTTAAACCACGCTCCTGCCTCGCGCTGCAGTCGGGCGTACCCGTCCGTGAAGAACCAATCAGCCCTCGAGAGCCGGCCAAAGGGTGCCCCACGGGGCCGGAAAAGGTATTGTTTTTGAGGAACAATAACTTGCAGCTCGATCCACAGCAGCTTGGTACGGCGCTACGCGAGGGGGCCACCACTCGTGTAATCTTGTGTACAGAGGGAAGTGTAATCCCTATGTAATCCGTGTAATACTTACCTAATTTTGATGTTTTTTTTTACTGAATTGCACATAATTATCCAAATTAAATGGCTTCAGCCCCAGAAATTCGACAAATTTCATTATTAATCTCTCGAAATTCTCGTGTAATCCCTGTTATCACGAAATCCTGTGTACGTCAAACAGGCAGGCGCCCAACGGCCAGCCTCGAGCTCCCCGCCCCTCATCCAGCAGACGCCCCCCCCCCCCCCACACACACACACACATGCGCGCGCGAGCGAGTCGCGGGGGCCACGCCCGGCCACGCTTCCGAATCACTCGAATCACCATAAAGTCTCATCATGTCCCAAATTTTGACGTTGGGAAACTCAATTCCCGGGAATGGCAGCTTGCCTCCCTCCCCTACGCCTCGGCCGTCGGCCGGTCCGGCCCGCCTAACAGAGCCCTCTGCTTGCTCCGCTAACGCCGTTAACTGTAATGGGACTGACCGGATACGGAAGGGGAAGCACTGCGGTTGTCGGCTGCAAGTTGTCGAAAGCCCCTTCCTACCTCTCCTCCCTCACAGGACACCCCCCTCCCCACCGACCCTTACGAGCCCCGCCACCACCCCACCCTGCTCCGCCCCATCCCGCTCCACCGCCACAGCTTTGTGCAGCCATCCCATCAGGGATGCCCCCCCCCAATGAGAGCTGCGGCACCTCGTGTGCCGGCACCACCGACGGGGGCGGCGCACCGCAGGGCAGGGCCACCACCTCGCCCTCGATCCGCCCCGCATC